CCACCCTCTGGGTCTGACCACAGAGCCAATTCCCCAGCCAACGGATCATGGTGAAGCCGAGGCTACAGTTAGCAAAACTGGCTAAGAGGTGATCGGGGGATACCAGATCAAAGGCTTTTTTAAAGTCAAGATATAAGACATCAGTCTCCTCTCCCTTGTCCAGGTGATAGGTCACCTGGTCATAAAAGGAAATAAGGTTGGTCAAGCAAGACCTACCCACAACAAACCTATGCTGAGTATCCCTCAGGATGTTGCCATCAGCCAGTCTGTTAAGAATGGCCTCTTTGATAATCTTTTCTAAGACTTTCCCTAAGATAGAGGTCAGGCTGATGGGCCTATAGTTTGCCAAATTCACTTTCCTCCCTTTCTTGAAGATAGGTACCACATTGGCCTTCTTCCAGTCTTCAGGCACTTCACCAGAGTGCCAGGAGTTCTTGAAGATCTGTACCAGGGGCTGAGCTATGATGCTTGCCAACTCCTTGAGTACAGGGGCTCAGCAGGCTTAGTGTAAAGCCTGGTGGAGCAGGCAGCCAGTCTGGCTGAGAAGACCCTCCTCCCCAACAGAGAAAGGTGGAGGCCATTCCTTCCCATGCCCCACAAAGTAAGGATCCAGAATTTAAGACTAAGCAACATCCTTTGTAAAAATGGAAGTTTGTGGGTAAAGCAAGTAATGTTTCACTTGTGTTCAGCTTCCAAGTTGAGGCCTAAAGAAGAAGAACATTCAGAAGGGAAGAGTGTTGAAAAAAAGACAAAATGTCTCTTTTGTCCAGACTGTGGGCACATCTACACATCGCCATACAGCAATGTTGCTACAGAGTTGTGGTTTAGTACTTCCAGCATGGGTTGTTACAGTGCCATGTGCACCATGCACAGGTAAATTTTCCACCTAGGAGCATGCCATTATGGGGATGTAGCTAGTGATCAAATGTAAACCCACACGACCACTGTGTTGCCCTAGCACACAATATGGTGATGTAGCACATTGCTATAGGGTGATGTGTAGACATGCCCAGTATCTTTCAAAGATTTTCAAAGCAAGGTTTTAGCCAGTTCAAATAGGTATGTAGAAGTCTGATTTGAAACATGGAGCAAGAATCAGGATTTTGTTGGGGATGTCAGGGTTTATGCTTGTCAAGGTAATTTTTTCTCTAATTTTCTTTCTTTCCTTTTACACAACCTGGCCTCTGCTGCAGGCCTCATTGTGAGCCTAATCCATTGCTTTGTCTTCAAGGTGTGCTTCCCTAGCCTTTCCCCTCCACAGGGTAACCTGTAAGGCAGTGGGAGATGAGGTTTTCTGGTGCCCCATACTCACCCTTCACCAGGGAGGCACAGGTGTGGCATTTCCTGGAGACTGCCCTACCACCACCAGTCCCACCACACCATCCAAACCCCAGCAGGGTGTAGTTTTAGGTTATGACCCAGGACCACAAGCCTCCACCTTCTCTATAGCTCCTTCCCTGTACCTCCAAGACATTATGAGCAGCAGCTCCAACCGGGTGATGCTCTCTCCTTGGCTGCTTGCAGCAGACAGCCAGCTCCACTGCTTAGAGCCCTGTTCTTATAATAAACAGCTGGGCCCTGTTCCCAATCAGGCAGTTGTGCCTGATTGGAAGTGCAGCCACCTGCAAGCTGCTCCACTGCTTGCTCATTCCCCTGTGAGAAACACAGCACAACTTGTACTCTGTTACAGCCTCCCTTTCTCTCTTCAGCCATATGAAAGTAAGTTTAATTTCTTAGTCTGTATTCATTTTGAGAAAATTTATTAAATGAAAAGTCCCTTTTTCAATAACTAATCTCTCTAGAAGTCAGATAATATGGGATTCAGTCACAAAATACCTGTAGTGTTGGGTTTTCTTATACTGGTCATAAAATGTCTGAAATGATGTACTTATTAGGCTCATCTACATGAGATGCTGTACTGCCATAATGATGAGCTACAGCAAGGTAGCATCAGCAGGCATAAACCATGATACCAAGCAATAAAAATGACCCATGAGCTGCTGGGACTGCGCAGTTCCAGTGGTTACTCTGAAGTCACTTACTACTTTCTGAGGCAGGGGCTGGGGAGAGAGGAGGGTCAGCAGTGTCCTGGGAGGCTGCTGGAGACTCCCACCTGCTGGCCAGGGTTTGTGCCCACGGGATCAAGTCCCTCCGACACAACAGGTGCATGCGTCTTGGGTTAAGTGGTGCTCTAACTCATGGTGCTTTCTGGCAAGTGCCATGAGTTAGAGTGCCTCCCTGACAGGCTGCCTAAAGGTCTGTAGGTACCCTGTGATTAAGGTAGATGCCTTGGGAGGGGGGCATATTTACATCTGTAATACAAAACAATTAGCTGTGGAAAATAATAGGGAGCATTTGAAATTGAGTCAAATGGGACCTGGAACATAACTGTGTTCCCAAAGAAAAGAAATGCAAAATATCTTGAAATATCTGGGTGTCTGGATGAGGGTCTTATCACCAAAAAACTTTAAATGACTGAAAATAATTGCAAGTGAATATGAAGGCATTTCACTACTTTCTAAAATCATGACAGAGTAAAGAGAGAAGGAACCATTCTTTTTGACTCTGAGCTAAAATCCTTTCAGTTCTGTTTTGAGTACTACAATTAAATAATCTATGCTCATATGGAAACGTAGTTGCAGAATGAAGTAAGGAGAAAGTGGTACATTTTTTTGAGAGAAGAAAGAAAGCAAGCAAGAAAGAAATTACCCCAAAACATATTAGAGTAAAATTATGTCATCTAGTCTGCATGGAATATCTAACTTTCAGTATATATGGTTGCCACTAACTGCATAATAAATTCAATTGGTGCCGAGTAGCCGCGGAGAATGCAGACAAAAAATCATCTGTACCTAGAGAATTCAAGATCTGAGAATTTAGCTCTATATATAAATGTCTACAGGCATAAAAATAAATACAGAACTATCATGATATCCTTACCCATATATTTTCTACCCACTAATATGGCATACACACGTGACTGTGTCAGAAAACTTGCTGCCAGAAACTCCTACTTCCAATTTACATTAAGAGAAGTTCTTTTTTCTTGCTGTCAACACTAGGCCAATTCTTAAGTAACTCTAATGTAGCCAGGGCACTGACTTTAACCACTGAATCACACTCATTTAGGAGTTTGGGTCTGCAGTCCTTGAGCAAACAA